CTGACCCAGTCGCCACTGGTTGGGTAAATTTGATTTACTTTAACCTCACCCACTCACCTTAGAGTAACCTTTTCCTCTTCTGCACCTCAGTTTTAATGTATTGTTCAGAATATTGCTGTTTAATTAGATGACACATCTCCTCTTTTATTAAGGAGATTGGTCAGAAAATGCTTTTGGTTCTGTATACGACATTCAGAGCATTAGTAAATATATAGTGGGGTATATGGCGTCCCTAGATGAGTCATGCTACCTGTGTGTGTGTGTTGTAATACAAGCTTCTTTGTTCTTTCCTGTGGACGTCAGACTGTGGATGCATGTTAGTGCATGTGAGTCCCAAGCCCCCAGAAACAGTGCCAGGCTTTTGAGGCCAATTTTACACGTTGGCCAAACGTGGAATTACAATTTCTGGGTCCATCACACGACACAATCTGCCCAGAGAGACTTTTTCCTGTCACAGTCCCTGTGAAATTATTCATTTGCTATCAGGACTTGATTTATTTGATCCAATAACATTTCTTAAGTATAAAAGAACCAGATCAGATCATTTTTTATCCCCATTCAAGGTAGCAGAGGGCTAAACTGGCAGTTAGCTGTTTGGTGGTCAAAAGTTAGCCACTCAGCTGTGGTAAGTCCCTAGTACACTTGCTCTATGGGCCCCATGATGTGGAAGATCTGGGTAATTTCATACCACTGAAATTGCTGTTGTTAGCACTGGTCACACTGTTAGCACCATTAGCTGCTAGCTGCTGGCTCATCCACCTGCATGTTTAGAACTGTGTACTGCCAGCCTGAATCAGACTCTGACTCATAGATACACTGAATGTTCTACAGACCTTCTTTAACGTAACATTTTGACATTTTGCGAAATGCACTTATTCACTTTCTTCGTGGGAGTTAGATGCAAAGAATGATGTCACTGTCAAGTTTGTCCATTAGAAATGAACTACAGCTAGGAGATGCTTAGCTTAGCTTAGCATAAAGACTGGAAACAGGTAAATAGCTACAGCAAACCTGGCTCTGTTCGGAGAGAACGTAATATGCCTGTAAGTACCTCTAAATATCACTAATGAACACGTTACAGCTTGTTTGTTATTCCACATAAAAACCAAAATGTAAAACGTTGTGGTTTTACAGGGGGATATGTGCTAGAGTATTTCAGTTACTTCTTAGACACTCCTCTTAAAAAAACCCCACACACGTGTTGTTATACAGTTGAGAGATAACATGTTATTTAGTGATCTTTAGAGGTGCTGATAGGTAGATTTTGTTACCTTTGGACAGAGCCAGATGAGCTGTTTCCAGTCCTTATGCTAAGCTAAGATAACGGCCTCTTGGCTCTAGCTTCATAGTTTGCGTATAAAGAAATACTGATCTTCTCATTTCTCTGCAATAAAGCAAATAAGTGTATTTCCCCAAATTCCTTTTCCTTCCCAGGCCAGGTGAAAGCTATCCTACATGTGAAACAACATAAGTGCCACCTGTACTCTCTGTTGCAATCCAATATAACGGCCCTGCAATAAATTCAGACACAGTGAGGCTCATAATGTTCAATTTGTGTTGAGCCTGGGAGGTGCTGATTCAACTCAGAGGGGATTTTCTGAGGCTGTAGTTTGTGTTGTGTTGAGCTGCATTATATTGTAAGGTGTTTCTGTTTCTGTGTCCACCCCCGAGCAGATGCCTTATTTGTTTCAGCTATCATCCTGCAGCTGAAGGAGAGGAGACACAGGCAGAGATTTGGACCAACATGGACAAACATGGTATTAGGGTAGGGAAAGGGAAATTGAAAGAAAATTGGATTTGTCACTTTTCTCTTGAGAGTGACAGTGTTTGTCAGGTACATGTACAGGCAAACATATGTGTGTGTGTGTTTGTGTGTCTGTGTCATCCGTACTTTGGCAGCAGTGTTTGCTCCAGTCTGGCAGAAGGTAGCGATTGTACCAGTAATGGTGTGATAGTGACATAGTGTCATAACAAGGTAGCAAATGCGCTAAATGTTCAGAGGCAGGCATCTGCTCCAGTTAGAGCTGAAGACAGCATCAAGCTGTTCATATTATTGCCAATTAAGATCAGATTTAATTTAATCATGAAAATCAAATTAAAAAGTACCGCATATATCTCTCAGGCTCTAATGGATGTTCACCACAACAACTGGGTGAACTCAGAGAAACACTTCTGGTAAAGATGAAGGCATTAGTCCATTTGCGTTGAAGTCATATGTGTCTGTTTGTGTCTTTGCCTACTTATTATTTTCTTCCAACATTCATCTCATCACTCCTCAACACTTCTCATTTAATATTCTACACGACTATGACCGAAAATAAGCACTGACGAGAAAACTGACACCTTGTCTTCTCCTCAGCAGAGTGTAATGCGGCAAAATGATGAGAAGACTTTGTGAAAGGTAAAGCGGGGGGCATACGTTTCTGTGTGACTGGTTTTCCCAGATGGCCATGTGGAGGGAGCTGTGTGATCAGAGATCTAATAAACCGGTGGATATGCTGCATCGCCTTTCCTGGGAGGGAGCTGTTTCCATAGCAACCACACCACAAGCACTGCAGGTTAATGGTGGGAAATTATGATTTGCCGGTTGCAACTAACACACAGGGTAACTGCTGAATCAACTTTGAGCTCTCTGTGGCGGCAAAACGATACGAGCGGTTCCCACAGTGCAGTTTTTGGATATCAAAAAGGCCTTTGAACAAGTTCCAGTTGGCCCCCAGCAAAATGAATTAAATTTCACTAATGTATTTGTATTTTAAAAGGCTTTACTCTGCCACATGCGCTCAGCCTGCACTAAATCCTGAATCTAAAAGTAGTGAAACATTTAAAAACACTTTTTCAAATCAGGGTCAAGCGGTCAAAATAAACTCCAACAAGAATTCTTCTAACAGGTCCAGTCTTATTAGCAGTTTAAAGGCTGACTAAAACTTTTCTCAACTCTGTGTTTACTGTGTTATGTAAAAGTTTCAGACCACAGTGTGCAGATGGTTACAATAACTTGTTTGCCATTTGTAGTTTAATATTATAGCATGAGTCAAGCATGGATCAATTACAAATTGACCCCACCAGACAATAGTTGAAGGTCGTGCATCACAGAGTGTTTGGCAGATTTAAAGGAATATTGCACCCTCCAAATGACCAACTGTACAGCAGTTACTTGCCCTGTGTTATGATGCATTTGTGAAAAAAGCTTTTCTCACATGCCTCAGTGAACGAAGAATCTGAAAAAAGGAGAAAATTCTTGATGAATTGAAGACATAGGCTACTGCCATTAAAGGGGAACTAATATTTTTTTCAACCTGGGCCCTATTTTCTGATCTACTTTTGTCTAAATGAGTGATAGGATGTTCAATATTTGACATTTCTCCAGTACGAAGCTAGGGCTGACCTGCCTGCAGCCCGTGGGTACACGCTATATTAAATAATAGGGCACTCAGACAGCGTCAAACAAAGTCAAAATATGTCCATTAAAAGTGCATTTTTTCACACAGATAGGCTCGGATAGTTAGTATAATTATCCGACAACATAACGGAAAGGAGAAATGAACGTCTGTGTTTACCTCTAGCTGGATTCAGACGCAGAGCTCACTGAAATTGAAGAGCGGACGAGGAGAGAGAGGGAGCAGCAACAGGCAGAGGAACATGTCCGAATCCAGCTAAAGGTAAACACAGACGTTCATTTCTCCTTTCCCTTATGTTGTCGGATAATTATACAGCAATTGATAAGTCACACAATAACACAAACAACAAGATATAGTTTCTCTTCTGTTAAACACGTACTCCTATGACTTCAATTAATCAAGTATTTCATCCATTTTTGGATTCTTCAGTCACTGTGGAGGCATGTGAGAGAAATACATTTTTGTTCACAGATGTAGCGTAACATTGTGTGAGCAATTGATCTACAAATAATCATCTGAGGGGGGAAGTTTTCCTTTAATGCTTTGTCAGAAATAAAGGAAATTACACCATTAGTCAGACTTGAATGTAGTTTAATACCGTAGATTTTATGAGTGCCCAAAATAATGTCAGTTTTGCTGAACCTTTTAATCTTTGGCTGTTTGTGATCTTCTTTTTTTTACTCTTCAGGCATTTCATGAACATGGACACTGTACAAATGTGTTCAAGTTTTAAACGTACATACCAGATTAATATTTGGCCTAAACTAAACACATACAGGAGGACTCATTTTGGAGCATCATAGAAGGATGAAGTCAAACCTGCTCAGGCTGTCTAAGTAGAAAAGATAAAAACACTGAAATGACAACAATTGTGTTGATCCCCAGTCAATAACTCTCTTCTTAATTCCAATAGAAACAGCAAAGCAAGAACCTGCACGTGCCATCTGTTTGGCGCACTGTCTTGTCTCAACACAGAGATGATCACATCTCATCTCTGTAGCTACAGTATGGATGAAGAACCTGTCAGGCAGCTCCCAAAGCAGCAGCTCAAACAGCAAGTGATGAAACGTTGTCATTTTCACTGCTCCCCTTAGAGAAGGAGGAGGAGGAGGAGGAAGAATCTAAACAAGTGACAGGTCTGAGAAAAGACTTATCTCTCTCTCAACATAGATGTGCAAGTGTGTGTGTGTGTGTGTGTGTGTAATAGAGAGAGAGATTTTTATTTAAACAAAGCACTTTTTAAACATTATCACATTGGATATATTTACATACACATCAATCAACAACTACTTTTTTTTTTTAATAAATAGCCTACATTTGCATATTGCCGGAGCAAGACAGAGACTAATAAGATCCACTCTAAAGTCCATTTCATTTCATAATTATTATAAATTATTAATTAGCAAGTCATTAAATTTATATCAACTGTGTCCATGGCACCCAAAAGTCTTTTGATGTCCTCCTCTCAAACGAGCTTTCAAGCCTTTTTCTCAGTGCTGATGGATGAACTTGAGTTGCGTTGACCCGAGCAGTGACGACAGAAACACATTTTAAAGAGGTCAACAGCACAAACAGCCGAACAATGAGACGTGTGATGAGTGAGGTGCCATTGGTTCCTCCAGCGCTTCCACCATAAAATTCGCACTCCGCTGCTCGCGGCCGGTATAGGGTGGGACTTTTTGTTCCCATGGTTTGTGATGACAGAACAGATGGTGAGGTTGCCTGTTTGGGCATCACTGTGGGTGTCAGACGCGTTTCAGTCCAGCTGACCTGCACCAGGCAGCTGCTGCTCGTCACTGGAAGCTGTGCGCTGCAGCGTTTCCACTTCTGAAGTGTTAGCGCCGCGTCTCCGGCGCTGGAGATCATATCACAAGCGAAAAGGGGGGTGTTTTCCACAGACACAGATTTGTTCTCGTTAATAAGGCTGAATGTTACTATTGTAAAACATAATCTGCAAACCCCTTCGCGCATCATTCCGGAGCTGCGGATACTGCATGGGTCAGATACAGTAGCCTGCAGCAGTGGGAACGGAGGATACGGCGCTTCAGAGGTGAGAGCGATGTGTTTGTTTCATGCATGTGCTGAAATTGTGATACATATGCCTGTAAAATATCTCCAAACATTTCCTTGATTATTTTTGCTTGATAGAAGGGAGGGAATATTTCAGTCTGGTGAAGAGTGGAAAAACTCATAAAGATGAAGTCATCATTTTTGTGATTTCAAGAAACGCACTGATCAACAAAGATGAAATGAAACAATAACGCGATCTTTCTCCGTGGTGTGGGTCCTCGTGCAGCGCGTGGAGCAAAGAGGAATGGCAGTGTTACGGCTTTAACAAACAAATATTTCATTCAGACAGAGATTGGATCCTAAAAGTTGTGCGTATTTATGATATGATCTCAGCATTTATCTGCAATATGTGCGTCTTATCAGTAAAATGCATTATAGCAGTAGTAGATTTGCAAGGACACTGCGCTCTGCAGTCAGTCTATACACACTATATGATTATTGTGAACCTTTTTCCAGTCTAGACAATTTATAAATATGAACTGATCTGAGATAAGAGGCAGGGGAACAAAGGGAAAATCAAATAAAAATCTGTGTACTGCAAACCTCTGTTAAGTTGCAATATTTAGTTTGCTTATACTTCAGCCATAAAAGCCAGGTATTGATGTGAATTGTGAGTCTCCACCGGGCTCATTATTAATTAAAGCTGCAGTCTTGTCAGCAGTCCTGACATTTCACTGCACTGTGACACCGGGTTCAACTAACAGTGTAGTGTAACATTTACACAAACTGCAGCATCACTCGCCAGAGCAGAGTGCTGCTGAAACAGCTGAGTAGCAGCAATGGGCTCATGTGCTCCAGCAAAACCTATTTGCATGCCCAAGAGGCAGGAAATCAGCAGATGTCTGGAGTGAAGACATAGAAAAGAAAGAAAGACAATCCAGTGTTTCTGATAAGAAGTAGGAGAGAGCAGGGGGAGTCTGTATTGTTAGGGTCACCTTTGTCAAGTGGGCTCTGTTGTTTCAGCTGCTGCATTACGGCGGCACCTGTTACTGAGATCACAAAGAACTCACTAATATCAGCACACTATCAGGAGTTTGATTAGGACAAGAGGAGCATGATTTGCATGATTTTGCACACTTGTTTTTTAGCAACCACACAACTTGTGTGCAGTTTACTTTGTCTTGTGAGGAAGCCAGACAATTGATCCAGATGTCACCCAATAAGCCAATGAGGTGGGAGTGTAGCAGGCCGTGGCACCTTCCCCCAGTCCTCACAATGCACAGTTACGTATCTCCTCAGCTGGTGATGAGGAGTGTGAGAACCTGCCAAAACAAAGACACGTCTTGGTGTGTCTGTGTGTTTGGGTAGGAGCTTTTGTGAGGCGTAGGGCTGGACTCTGCAGCATGTGTTGGTGCTGGGGTTTCCCACAGCGGTGGAGACAGAGGGTGCAACAGCTTGACCTTCTCCCTTTGTGAGCGTGATCTGAAGGGGAACATGGAAACATGACGGGCCATTGTAGGGTTTTGTCAGGATGTCGAGTTGCGTGTTTTGTCCTTTGTTTTTATCAGTGATAAACTGAAAATTAACTTTTATTCTAAATAGACAGACTGTAAGAGAGTTTTGGTTGTTATCATACGTGGAGCAAAAACCTGATATAAACTGTTTAAAAAATCATGTTGAAGCCCATTTATGAAAATCCATTTTACAAGCATTATTAAATGAATACTATGCAGGGTTTTATTATATAAAGATAATCCCTCTAAATCATTATTTTTTTTATTTTATGATGTTCAAAAACCTTTGAAAACACATTGGGGGAGAAATTAAAGTTTCAGTGGTGTTGAGGTATAAACAATAAATGCAGACGCAGCTAAAATCAAAAGGCAACAAAGGAAGAATACAACTAGGCCTATATATATATACAGTACAGGCCAAAAGTTTGGACACACCTTCTCATTCAATGCGTTTTCTTTATTTTCATGACTATTTACATTGTAGATTCTCACTGAAGGCATCAAAACTATGAATGAACACATGTGGAGTTATGTACTTAACAAAAAAAGGTGAAATAACTGAAAACATGTTTTATATTCTAGTTTCTTCAAAATAGCCACCCTTTGCTCTGATTACTGCTTTGCACACTCTTGGCATTCTCTCCATGAGCTTCAAGAGGTAGTCACCTGAAATGGTTTCCACTTCACAGGTGTGCCTTATCAGGGTTAATTAGTGGAATTTCTTGCTTTATCAATGGGGTTGGGACCATCAGTTGTGTTGTGCAGAAGTCAGGTTAATACACAGCCGACAGCCCTATTGGACAACTGTTAAAATTCATATTATGGCAAGAACCAATCAGCTAACTAAAGAAAAACGAGCGGCCATCATTACTTGAAGAAATGAAGGTCAGTCAGTCCGGAAAATTGCAAAAACTTTAAATGTGTCCCCAAGTGGAGTCGCAAAAACCATCAAGCGCTACAACCAAACTGGCACACATGAGGACCGACCCAGGAAAGGAAGACCAAGAGTCACCTCTGCTTCTGAGGATAAGTTCATCCGAGTCACCAGCCTCAGAAATGGCAAGTTAACAGCAGCTCAGATCAGAGACCAGATGAATGCCACACAGAGTTCTAGCAGCAGACCCATCTCTAGAACAACTGTTAAGAGGAGACTGCGCCAATCAGGCCTTCATGGTCAAATAGCTGCTAGGAAACCACTGCTAAGGAGAGGCAACAAGCAGAAGAGATTTGTTTGGGCCAAGAAACACAAGGAATGGACATTAGACCAGTGGATATCTGTGCTTTGGTCTGATGAGTCCAAATTTGAGATCTTTGGTTCCAACCGCCGTGTCTTTGTGAGACGCAGAAAAGGTGAACGGATGGATTCCACATGCCTGGTTCCCACTGTGAAGCATGGAGGAGGAGGTGTGATGGTGTGGGGGTGTTTTGCTGGTGACACTGTTGGGGATTTATTCAAAATTGAAGGCACACTGAACCAGCATGGCTACCACAGCATCCTGCAGCGACATGCCATCCCATCCGGTTTGCGTTTAGTTGGACGATCATTTATTTTTCAACAGGACAATGACCCCAAACACACCTCCAGGCTGTGTAAGGGCTATTTGACCAAGAAGGAGAGTGATGGAGTGCTGCGGCAGATGACCTGGCCTCCACAGTCACCGGACCTGAACCCAATCCAGATGGTTTGGGGTGAGCTGGACCGCAGAGTGAAGGCAAAGGGGCCAACAAGTGGTGTTTAGCACTTGTTGGCCCCTTTGCCTTCAAGAGTTCTGGGAACTCCTTCAAGACTGTTGGAAAACCATTTCAGGTGACTACCTCTTGAAGCTCATGGAGAGAATGCCAAGAGTGTGCAAAGCAGTAATCAGAGCAAAGGGTGGCTATTTTGAAGAAACTAGAATATAAAACATGTTTTCAGTTATTTCACCTTTTTTTGTTAAGTACATAACTCCACATGTGTTCATTCATAGTTTTGATGCCTTCAGTGACAATCTACAATGTAAATAGTCATGAAAATAAAGAAAACACATTGAATGAGAAGGTGTGTCCAAACGTTTGGCCTGTACTGTAGATATATATATAAATTACTTATGACCTACTAGAAATATGTGGTGGTGTATTTATCTGCAGAAAATTTCATTATTATCTCCTTATTTTGCTGTGTTTGGGATGTTCCTGGGAACAACACGCAGGTGAGGTCAGGACTTTATAGAAAGGTAGAGACCAGCACGCATCCATCCAATTACACAGCGCTAAAAGAAAAACACAAATATATTAAAAGTAAAACACCAGGCGTAAACAGCTTGGATTGGCTTTCACCTTCGCTGGTGATACTGTTTACAAACAGAAGCCAGCAGTGACTTTATAGTGTACCTTTAATGACACAATCTTTTTGGTTGAGAGGTCAGTTTGAACTGCGCAAGTTAATTATCCTTGACCTCTGCGTTGTTTCAAATAGGGGTTCCCCCGAGATTAGAGACTCTTGCCCCGTCAGTAAGATTGATCGATGCTTCAGTGACAACAAATTGGCTTTTTGCCGACATTGCAACTGTAAGGATAGATGAAGAGGAGGGGGGAGGATGAGGGCATACAGGGGAAAAAATTGAGAGCCAGAGAAGAGAAATTGTGTCAAGATCCATCTCAGTTCCACGGGGAAATAAAGCTACCATATGGATTTGCAGTAAATAGAACTACAGAGACAATTTGCCATGCTGCGACTATTAAACACTGATGCAGCCTGAAGTAAAAGTATGCAGCAGAATTTCCTTTAATTCCATATGTAGGGTTTCTCATTGTATCTTCAGCCCTGTTGCATTTTTAGCTCAGCAGTTTACTCCTGTGGCCTCCCGGCTGAAGGAAGCAGAGCTCTCCATCCTCTCCCTCTTTACTTTCTCCCGTCTCTCTGACTGAGTGGACATGCATCCTTCTCCTCCTCCTCGGCTCTACACCTCTGCCATCAGCAGCTGCACCAAAGCCCTGTGTGATGTGAAGTGAGACACTTGCATACTAATGGAGCAGGAACAGGATGTCTCTCAGGCAGGCCAGCACAGTGAGGACATGGAGAAAACATCAGGCAGCACCACTCAGCTTCCCAGCACCACATGAGAGCTCTGGGTTCAAACTGATTGTCTCGAAAAACTGGCAGCTTTAGAGTAGGAATCTGGAAATATATAAATACAATGTGGTGTCTGCTGATAAGGGGAAAGAGTCAGATATTTGAGCCTGTGTGCTTACTGTTGTTTTATTGTGTTTATGCTACAGTCACCTTCTTGTACCAGCAGCTCTCACAAGCATGTTCCTTTAGCCGCCCGGTGGCAGTAATAGCCGTCTTCTCATGTCTTCTCATTTGGTTATGAAACAGACATGCCGGTGGCATAGCCGTTGCTATGGTGATGGCATGTCTGTGAGCCTGTTGTGCGGCTGCTGATTCAGAAACACTGCTTACATTTTGCACCCAGTGAAAAGGGCCTCAGAGATAGAGGGGGTAAAAGCATAGCCTTCTATGAAAAATGATGCAGTGTGCTATCAA